CTAAATTCTATAAAAAAAATCTAAAAAAATGACTTTTTTTTACATAATTAATGCATAAATTTGCAGGGTAAAAACCTTAACCCTGTGCCCTGTTCTGTACCCTGCCCTGCCCTGCCCTGCTACTTTGCAGGACAGGGCAAAAATCGCTAATGTCACCCTGTTCCTGCTACAGGGCAGGGCAGGGTAACCCTGCCCTGTGCCCATCTCTGGTTCAGCTATCTTGATAACCGTTCGATCAACTCTTATCAAAAATATCTTTTTGTAAAAGAATTGATCCGAAAATGTTTTTAAAAAACTAAGACCAGATTCGAGTTCCCCGATCTCGATTAGACTTCGGTCAACCATTATGAAAACAATTCCTTTCATATGTTTACCTAACTTTTGGACCAACCATTGAAGTGTGAACAGACAAGCAAGCAAGCAGACAATTTATGTTCGCAAGACTCTTCTCTACGAGAAAGAGAATTAAATTAAAACCTATTTTAATTTCTTTCTTTATCAAACCTTAAAAAAATTTCTACAAAAATCAAATCCAAAAATAACTTGATTTGAAAAGTGGAAAACGGTTACTATACATACAGAAAAGTGAAAATAGGAAGCTATATCGCATGTTCATGTATAAATATATCCACTCTTTTCCGTTATATCTTTGAATCATACTAAAAATAGAACGAATAAAACGAACAGCTTTTCATAATAATAAGAATAACAAGTAGAAAATAAAAATAAGCCTTTTTTTATATTGGTAAAAGTTTTCTTCAAGTCTTTTTTTCAGAAAATGAACAAAAACTATCCCTTTCTAGAAACATTAATAGAATACCATAAGAAGATCTACCATGATAGTAAGATTCTATCAATGTTTCATTAGTGCATGCTACAAAAATGTTTTTTAGTAAAACACAATAGCGGAAAAGTAACAGTTTTTTTCCGAAAAATATTTCACAAAAAAATTCTCTTTCAGATTAACGAAATTATTAATTAGAATGTTTCCGTGCAAGGTCTCGGTGTAGTCCTCATCGAGTACTAAAATGTAAATATTCGAATGCACTGCACATTTGAAAACAAAAATCAACATTTACAATTAAATACAGTAATTTTTACAACTTATAGTTTAAATTAATTTTATTTTATAAGTTTTGTTTTAGTGGTACGACAACTATGCTGATGAATCGTATTTTGAGAATGTAGGTGTGGGTATGGGTATCTCTCCTTCATTCTTACCGAAACATACACCCACACCCTCGGCCAATTACTTCGACCCAAAATATAAAATGTTGGCGTGTAATAACCAGGTCAATCAACAATTAGCTAAAATTATCATTAATTTTGTATTTATTTTCGAAACAGTTCGTATTTTTGCTTTCTTTTCAATAAATATAAGTTTTTTAATTGTAGTTACTATGCATTATGAATATTATTGTGCAAGTAATAATACTTGTACTAGAAGCGTACGAGAATTATTCATTATGTGCAATTATTTTAATCATAAACATAATTTCATTCACGATGTCGACTATATTATTTATGAAATCAAACACAACTTGTGCCAATAAACATGTATACAGATTTCGAGTATTAAACGTTTTAAACTGAACCTATTTAAAATTGTTTTTTATTTAGGGATCTCATTTTCGACTCGTAATTTGCATCATGATGGTCTTTGTTTTATACGAAGTGCGAAGTTATTTAGATTTTGATTATATTATCGATGATAATACCTTTCCTGATACACGTGCTTTTCACCGAAGCAACGATAAAAAAAAACACGCAGTTCTCATGAATCAAATGAAGTTAATACTGATCAAGGAACATGAGTTTAACATTTGTAAGCGAACACATGTATTATTTGTTCGCTACTCTTTCTTTTCTTCACATGTGTCTGCTATCTGGTATTTTCTTTCTTTTATTCATATATGACCATATGGGATAAATCCTTCTCTCTCTCATATATGTTTATATAGTATTTTCCTTTCGTTATCTTAATTCGTTCTTTTGTTCTTTTTACGTATATTGCGATTTCCAAGTGATAAGAAATGTTGTATGTCCATTCATTCTTTCTCTTTCCGTCTCTTTATTAACATTTATTTTAGAACATGGGGACAAAAAAAGATTGCAATGTCATTTTTATGTTTACTTATTCGAAAAAATATATCAATATTATTATCAACTATTGAAATATCTGTTGATTTTCTTATTTATGATAATGCAGAATTACGACAAGTATTTTTTTTTGTTATTAACAAATAATAAGATTCTTTTTTTTAGTATTCATTCAAAATTATTACAGCTTTATGTCATTTACAAAAACCAGATCGAATATATGTTGAAAAATCAGTTAATGAAATAATTGATAATAGAAATGAAAAATGTGAAGGAGGTGAACGTGATGATAATTTATGGATAACATTCAATAACTATCAACCATCCAAAAGTCAAAATGAATAGGAACAAACACATTTTTTAAATAAAACATTTTATGGTTATTATCAATGGCCTAAAATAATTAAATATACAATAAATAAACGAGAATGTTATACTTCGAATCATAAGTCACCACAAGTATCAATCATTTTTAATCGTTTCATGGATGAAAATTTTCTAATTCAATTAATAAAAATCAATGTTAATAATGAAGATATAATTAAATTCGATAAAAGTCGATTTTCAATGTTTAAAGTAATTAATTAAATAAATAGAAATAACAATGCATTACATAGTTTTACTTTTAGAGTCTTTTTCGTATTTTTGGTCTTTCATTTTTTGATAATTTCATGAAACAATTAGATTTACTTGTTCATCGAAAAAAACACGAAAAACAAGAACATCGATTAGCAGCTGAAATTGTAGCTGGAATGATTCGTGGTTCAAAATATTGGACATTAGATATGGTATGACGAAAAGAAATACTCAAAAAAGAATTTGTTTCAAATTTTATTTAGCTTGATGAATTTTGGCATAAATTAACATTATTTCTTAATGAAGTTTGTGTTAATCTCAGTCCTGATTTGTTCATTTATTGGGGTTTGTCTTTTCGACATAGCATGGTTTGTTAGATTCAATTTTTAAATAAATTTTCTTTTTGTATTTTAAAAGGAAAATCAAGATCCTCGTCGAGTATTTCAAACAATTAATTTCATTCGTAGATTGATCGATAATCAACCAATAATCAATACATTCAATGAAGCATTTCGATCGTATCTTGTTCAAAGTTTAGCAGTTTTTCAATGGCGTATACCATCTATTTTGTGTACTATCTAGGCACGAGCTAAAGAATTACTTGATCATCCATCGAAATTGATACGACAAATGATCGCTACGTAACCAAAGAAAAATATTTCATGAAAATCGAAATTTTATGTTTGATTATTATTATTAGTGTATTGCCAGTAGCATTACAATTCGATTTGACATCATTTCACGGAAAACCAACACATCATCCAACTATCAATCAATTTATTGATGAAATGCATCATCGATTAGATCAAGCTATAATAATTTGTCAAAGAAAATCTCTAGGTAAAAAATATTAATTAGTAAATAAAGTTCTTTTTAAAAACGTTTTTTTAGTTAATCATATTGCTGGAACTGGTATCATGGATAATGAAGTTCATCAAGCATTGAATTTAATCGAGTTAGGTATAAATATGATAAATATACTTCACTTATTTTATTTCAATATAATCTAGTTGTTGCAATACAAGGGCAATTATTCGCTACATGTAATCAACCCTAAGTCATTGCACTTATATTCTATTGTGTTTATTGTATTGGTTTGTTGTTTTATTAATAATCTTGTCTTTATATCTCAGTTGTATAAATACATTTGTGTTAAATATCTTAGTATATTTTATTTATTTGATAGACTGACTTATTTAATGTAGATTATTTTAACGATGATCTCATTGTTTCTTTCTAAGTAGATAATAATAGTCAAGTCAAAGATGAACCGAAGAGAAAAGATTAGGTTATCTATCTGTGAAACAGATTTTAGAAAAGAGTATCATAATAAATGTAGAATAAATAAGACAAATATTTTACAATTTTTAATTAAATACTTAAAAAGAAAATGTTCGTATTGAACACATATTATTAATTAGTAAAAGAGATATCTATATAAAAGAAAAACAATATTAATCGATCATTGATTCCAATATTATATAGCTACAATAAATAATCTGTATTTATTTTTAATCATGAAAAAACGAGGGTGTGAATGTGGGTGAGAATATGGATTTGAGTTAAATCTAATCTCTATGAATTCGCACCCACACCCACCCTCAAGTACCAAAATGTAAATATTCGAATGCACTGCACATTTGAAAACAAAAATCAACATTTACAATTAAATATAGTAATTCTTACAACCTATATAGTTTAAATTAAATTAATTTCATAAACTTTATTTTAGTGCAGCAACAATTATGCGGATGAATTATATTTCGCGAATGTAGGTGTGGGTATGGGTATCTCTCCTTCATTCTTACCGAAACATACACCCACACCCACACCCTTGGCCAATTACTCCGACCCAAAATACAAAATGTTAGCATGGAACAAACAAGTAAATCAACGATTACCTAAAATTATCATTAATTTTGTATTTATTTTCGAAACAGTTCGTATTTTTGCTTTCTTTTCAATAAATATAAGTTTTTTAATTGTAGTTACTATGCATTATGAACATACTCATACAAATCTTCGTATTTGGACTAGAATCGTATAATGTTTATTGGTTAGCTGCGTGTATTGTATTTGTTCAAGTCATTTCACTATGTATGTCGATCATTTTGTATAAGACATCCAACACAATTTATCCAAATAAACATATCTTTAAATTTCGAGTATTAAAAATTTTTATATTGAACCTATTTAAAACTGTTTTTTATTTAGGCTTCACATTGTCGTCTCATAGTCAGTGTTATAATGATATCGGTGTTCTATAAACTTCAACGTCATCTTAGATTTTGATTATATTATCGATGATAATACCTTTCTTCATACACGTGTTTGTCACCGAAGCAACGATAAGAAGAAAAACACGTAGTTCTGATGAATCAAATGGAATTAATACTGACTAAGGAACATCAGTTTGACATTGCAGTTCATTATTAAATAGTGTTAAAGTTGGCAAAAAAAATTTTTCTTTTCTTTTAATAAAAATCTTTTTCTAAAAATAAAAAAAAGACATTGTTTTCTTTCATTTATATATCTAAATTTTTTCATAACCAATATCTTTCAATACTTCGACCAGAACTATATTATGGAATATTTGCTCATGATATTGATCTAATATCTTGACGTATTAGATCAATAACAAAACTAGTTCAAAATCAAATTGTTGGTAAAAAAGATTATCGTCGATTTTTAACGATTAAACAAATTCAGTTACAAATTGAAGAATTTCAATTACAAAGTTTAAGAATATTAAATGAGATTGATAAAGAAATTGGATTGAAATTATTTTATTTATCAATTAGTCGATATAGAGTAGTAAAAAAGATTATAAAATAAACAAAAATTTGTATTCATCATTTTTAAAGGTTCGTATTAAAGCACAAGAAGAACTTTTCCATTTTGTTGATCATTATAATTTATCATAGACTATTTTTCTCGATTGTATTATTGAATTACTTAATAATTCTAATAATATAAATCATCATAAAATCAAAGTTTTCTTATTATTGTTTTCCTATTCTCTTATTATTATTAATATTTTTATATTTTAGAGTTGTCTTTATATTCTTCTTGGTAATCAAAAATTCTTTTTACCATTGAAACATTCGTAGACAATGATGAAGGGTGTGGGTATATATCTTGCCTTAACTCACACCCACACCCTCATGAGGACGATTAGCGGGGAAGGGTGTGTCTCGGTGTGTATGAGAGGTAAATATAATACGCACACCCACACCCTGTTTTCTTGATAAGTAATAGTGACTATTTTTTCTCATTTCTATTAAAGCAAGATCTCATATATCATCATGAACTATGATACTACAAAACAGTTAAGTGGCAGACTGTTGCTTACAGCCATACCACGTTGAATACACCAGTTCTCGTCCGATCACTGAAGTTAAGCAACGTCGGGCTTGGTTAGTACTTGGATGGGTGACCGCCTGGGAATACCGAGTGTCGTAAGCTTTCTTTTTATTTTTTAATACTAGCTTGTAAAACTACGATTATATTGAATCAAGAACAGCACCCAAGGGTGTGAGAAGGTGAATACAAGACTATGTCACACCCAAACCCAAATAATGTACTAAGTATGCAATCGCTGATTCTAGTTTCTTCTTTTCGAATGATATTTGTAAGTTAAGTACAAAATTAGATTTCTGATTTCTACTTTTTTAGTGGTTTTTATAAATCAGCCTTAGACAAATCTGAAATCAGAAACTAGAAATTCAGTCAAAACTGGTAACAATTTAAATTTTGTCACATCCTCTGAAAAGTGTCAAAATGTAAATTGTATGAAACTTGTGCACCCTGAGAATCACTCTTTAAATGAGTCGATTCGTCGAATAAAAAAAAACTTAATTTATTTTAAAATGCAATTATTTATCCCCACTGCGATACATCGATTTACATGTAAATTCTTTCCCTTAAATATGTTTAATATTTATAGATAGGCCAGTCTATTCTTTAGACACCCACTCCCAGCCGTGATTATTGTAAGTATTTGAAATAGTTCGTAAGATGGTAACAATCATAATACGTTTTTAGTGTGCATATTTTATTAGAATTGAAAATTTTGAAAAAAATACGCAAAATATTCAAGAATATCAAAGAAGAAAGAGAATTAGTTGGATATATAAAGATGATGGAACTAGCTAATAGATTATAGAAAAAGGACACTAGCTAGTGGATAAAACTTGATTATATAGTTCGAGTTTCGGTGTGATGTGCATTCGTACCATGTATCCTAAAAAGAAAATTAGTAATTAGGTATCATCGACAGACTGTATTGATACAACATACCTGCCTTATTTTCCAGGATTGCAAATACAATTAGCAGAATTAGCAGAATTACCACAATTACCACCAGTATTAGCATCACGACAACCATAATCGAAAAGAGCACCAACAGCAGCAGGATAATAACTACTGTAATCACTACCAGGAAGAAAAGCAAGATAACTACAAGCATCAGAACAACTAAGAATAGTAGCATAATTAGTACAAGAAACACCACAACCACCCTGACGTTGATTCATTAAATGGCGAAGAACATTATTGAGTTTCGCAGCTTGATTCATGCCTTCATCCTCTCCCCGTACCATGCCGCTTGTTGCCATCAAAACGAAGAAGACTGCCAAACAAATCATCTTATTCATAATGTGCATTATTGTATAATAGTGCTTGAATGTTTGAAGACGAAGTTGCCAATGAGCTTTGGTAGGTATGAATATTGTATGTTTCTGCAGTTGTGTTAATGCTTTATATATACGTTGGTAGGCCAGTATGGAGAGATCTTCGGGAAATAAATATGTCAGCAATCCAAAGTGATTTACTGCAATATTGAAGGTGCGCGTGATGTTAGTATAAGCATCTCTTCATCAACAATCACATTCTTTTATTTTATTTTATATTATTTCATTTTGATTTATTGCTCCATTTTGTTGCATTTTATTTTATTGCTCTAATTTTTTGCTCTATTTTATTACTCTATTTTTTTTGCATTTTATTTTATTATTCTAATTTATTGCATCTTATTTTATTGCATTTTATTTTCACCAATCGACGATCTTGTTTCGATCTTTCGAGATTCTTATTTTTCTTCATTATCAGGCCAGAGGCGTAGCTAAAGGGGGTGTACAGATGTCGTGCACCCCCTTTGGTAGAAAAATACCAGAAGAGGGATACTGATAGAGAAGCCTGTCACAAGACAAAAACTATTTACTCGTTGGTTTGCATCCCCATGCAAAATTTCTCACTATGCCCCTGTATCAGACAAGATTCTTCTTTTATTCTTTCTGTACAAGATTCTTGTTTGAAAAATATAACTTTGCCTTTTGAACAAGATTCTTGTGTTCTTTCCTTCTTGTCTGATTCTTACTATATCAAAAAAGCCTTTCATCAGTTACTAGCGGAAGTATTCGATGTTGGTCAGAAAAATTTGATAGTAAATATTTGGCAGATGAGAAAACGAGTGTAGGTGTAAGTGAGGGTTTAAAGTATGGGTGCAATTGTTTTTCATCAACACACTCTGCCATTCATACTCTCACTCACTCATTCACTCCTATTCACCTATCCATCAACTCGCCCACTCACTCCGTCACCATCACCCGCTTCCTCGCCACTACGCTCCCTCACCTTCACCCACTCACTTATTCCGTTATCTTCACTCGCACTCAAGAGATAGGAAAAACACTCATACACACATTCTTTTCCTTATAATGCGTCAGAGAATTTTTGATACTCATAAACTGGGTGATACTTTACCCAACCGTCCTCCCTTTCTCTCCCCCCTTAGTCGTACCAACCCCTCTCGACCTTTCTCTGTACTAGGGAAGTACTATGGAGAGTTTAGTGATCGTTGCTAATATAGGGGCTGATCGCATAGCAAACGGATGGACAAACATTCTTTTATATATATATATAGATTAATAATACCTTTTTCACATGATTTTATTAACAACTTCACATACAATGTACAAAAAAATGAAAACAAAAAGATAAAATGTGCATGCATATATTATCTATATTACTAAGAGCCTTTTCAAATAATATGTTTTTGAACGAATGGTGATTTCTTTCATCGATTTGAGTATACTTCTGTGGATGATAAAAGAAAATCTAAAAAAATAAAAAAATATTGATTAATCACATATCGAATGTGTTCAATAAGTAAAACGCTCGGAGATATCAGAAAAAAAGAATATTATCATAGATTTCATTGTTGTCTTTATATTGAATAGAAATATTTTCTATAGATTCAATTGGAATAAAGAATTGTTAGATATCGTTTGAATGCAACGAACGCTTGAGAAAAAGTATGTGTTCGAAGTGTAGATGCTGGTTAAAGTATCATTACCATGAATAAATAATGATCAGACATATACATATATGCTCAAACAAAAACTACATCACGTGTTGATGATCGTGGAAAACTAACAAGAAGCATTTTCTTTCCTATCATAAGAATCTTGTCTTAATACTAAGAAATTTAAATTTTTTTATATTTCTCTCTAGTTTCTTTATCTTCATGGTGCTCGTACAGGACTCTATTGTTCTTGAACTTCAAACAAGATTATTTTTGAAAGAAAAAAAAGATTCTTGTCTGAACTTTATACATATCTTGAATATCTTATAGTTCTTGCCTGATTATTTCATTTCTGATTAATCGCACAAGAATCTTGTCTTACTACAGGAATCTTATTTGAAAGTAAAGAAAAACAAGAATCTAGAAAGATCGTTGACTAGATTTATGACTTTTTTTTATTTTATCTCATTCCATTTTATTTTATTACTTTTTTTTATTTTATCTTATTGTATTTTATTGCACTGCGATTTATTACTTTTTTATTTTATCTCCTTTGATTTTATTGCATTTCATTTTATTGTATTTTATTTTATTACACTGTTTTATTCCCTCGACTGTATAGGGAGCATCATATAAAATAAAATGCATTCGTATGTAAGTTGGTGTCTAGGTTAAAATACAGTCAAGATGAGAAAACACATAATGCGTTATAAAACTTGATCAAAAGGTTTTTGGGGCCAGAGACTCCGAATCTGAGGTTTGCTTAATCAGACAATTCAGGAGTGAAGGTAAAAGAAATCGAGTTTTGGAGATAAAGTATTTCTGTAAATACTTTGATGTTATATTTCTTGTAGAGAAGTATGCAGAAAGTCGAAATCATGTTTTCTCACTTGTGTTAATTTCCACACCGTACTTATTAATTAGTTGAAGATTTGTCTAAGAAAAAACTGATGTTTAAATCTGAAACATGACTCCATTTTCGTGTGTTAGTTATTAGCATGCGAATGCGTGTTGCCCAGGTCGACCTATCCGATGTAGGATTCTATCGAAATCCGAGAATTCGACAAAACTCTATAGGATTCTGGGTGATGACCTCATCGTTTCGCAATTGTATCGGATACAAATATCGGATTTCGTAAGATCCGACAGATAGAAATACAATCCTGTTTCAAAACTTTTATTCTTTTATCTGATTATAAAATTGCAAACTGATATATGATGAATTTCTTAGTAAATATTCTGATGATTATATATTAAAGGTTTTTTTGAGATAATAGCTTTAAAAGTTTCTAAATAGTTGAAAAGATTTTATTTGAATGTTTATCTACTTAATTCAGATGGTGATGGTAAAGTTCTTGAAAAATTTAGATATACTTGAAAAATGTTACTACTACATTGTTAAACAATACTTGTTATGATTGATATGAATCTTTTTTGAAAAATAGTATATTCGGTTGAATCTTCATTAATAGTCGATATATCTGTAAAATCTATTGATAAATTTAAAATTATTTCAACTATTTCATCAAGAAATCTTCTAATAAATTCTTCAAATAATCCATTTGATCTACAAACGTCTTTTTCAATCTAAATATATTTTTATTTGTTAAAAAATTAAATATATCATCACGCACATATATCACTAAGATCATTTCGAATATCTATAGCTGATGAACAATCAACATATGTTATAAGCATAAGAATTGCATCAAGAAAATCAACTGTAATTGATGTTTTTTCTATATCATTATATCAATACCAGATAATACAGACATTAATAATGGTAAAACATATGTTTGTCGTACTAATTGACGACTTATACGTGTTACACAATACATAAGTGATGAAAAACGATGAGCTTCAACAATTTCATCAATAGATGAAAAAAGTTTAATTAAATAAATAAATAAATAATTCAGAAAAAAATAATTCAAATAGCAAACTTATCAACAATTAGCGGTACAGCAAGTTCTGGTCGAAGTATTGAAAGATACTAGTCATGAAAAAATTTCTTTGTTTTGTTTTTAAAAATCAATGTTTCGTATGTCTCTGGTTATTAAAAGATTTTTATTAAAATGGAAGAAAAGGATTTGTTTTTTTTTCTAACTTTAAAACTGTATTTAATGAAAAATGTCAATATCAAACGGCTGTTACTTGTTCAACAATCATTATTGTTGTTGATCATTACTTCTTGTTCTTTTTTCTTCTAAGAGTTGCTTCAGTAAAGAAAACGTGTAATGAAGAAAGGTGACAGCATGGACACTATGATCAAGTACTAAGATAACTTCGAACTTCGTATAACACAAAGATCATTATAATACAGATTATGAGACGACAATGTGACGCCTAAATAAAAAAATTTTTAAATAGGTTCAATATAAAAAATTTTAATACTCGTAATTTAAAGATATGTTTGCTTGAATAAATTGTGTTGGATGTTTTGAATAAAATGATCGACATCGTGAATGAAATTGCTTGTACTAATACAATGTGTCACTTAGATGAAGTTGGCTCCATATTTAACTAAAACATTCCCATATTCATTTCAGAAGGTTTTCCAAGTAGAACTCGACGAGCTCTATCGATTGGTCACTTTGGAATTTCCATAGCTCAAATCATGTCTCTAAAAATTAACAACTAACGGGTTTTTACTAGGGTAGTTACAGTAACTATCTGGTAAAACTATCTCATATTCGTTCATGAAGGCGTTCCAACTATCTTAGCTAGAGGTTTTAGTGTACTTCGATGAGATCTATCGAATGGCAACTTTGGATTTTGCATATTAACTGAAAGTGTTAGTGAAAAATCATTTTATATCTTACGTAAATTTCTATCTAATAAAACTATAGAATTATTAAAAAAGAAAGAAGAGTTAATCTTATACATTCAATTAAGAAAACGAAGCGATAGTTTAATGTAAAAAGTTTTAATATTAGAAAGAATAAAAACAAAACCAATTCAAATTCTAGAAAGAGATTGTTCATCGGAAATATTTTATGTAATCAAATTTTAAAAATACTATTCTTTAAATATGAATCGTAGATTTTTTAGTAACACAATGAATGTAGACAAACTGAATATTTTCAATGAGTTACTGTTATAAGTCAGATATTTCTTTTATCGACTCACATATCCATAAAAAAACCGAACTTTTATTCTCAACCGATAGAACATCTGTTTTCAAGGTTTGATATTTGAAAAGAAGAAAATAATTTAATTTATTTTGGATCACATACACTAATCATAAAGTCAAATACAACTTAAGGCGTTACATTTGGAACAGGATTATGAGCTATT